TTCTGAACCAAAATTTCTTAATTATCTATTAGCAGTTTTGAATTACTGCTGCCTGAAACTTGGACAGATGTGAAACTTGCATGGTGAAACATGCATGGTGAAATGATTAGATAGATTTGATTGTTCTCTAACAAACCAAGGTATTTCATAGCTTAAAGACAGTTTCAACTAAACCTATGGTGTCAAATATCAAGCACAGTCCTCAATTACCCAGTACTACATACACACTTCAGTTCTGTGGAAGCACAGGAAAAGCAAAGCATGCAGACTAAGTGGAGAATTCAGATTTTCATGACAGATAATTTTAATATGTCTAGTGCAGGCTATGCACGGTTATGCTTATTTGACACAAATGAGGGTAGGGGGGAATTGTTTAGTACAAGTTGGACTAGGCAAGTTACTGCACCAGCAGATCAGCAAAAAGCATGATTATCCATAAAAAGTAAGACACTGTGCACTTAGAGACTTTCAAAAAACTTTTTACAAAGCAGCTCACAAAGGACTCCTGAGTAACCTTTGCAATCATGGAATAAGGTGAGAGGTCCTCTTGTGGATCAGTAACTGGTTGAGAATCAGGAAGCAAAAAGTAAGAATAAATGGACCGTTCTCCCAATAGAGGTCCACCCCATCAAGGAATAGTAGAGTTTTCTGATGATATGAAACTGTTGGGGATGGTTAAAACAGAAGGTGATTGCAAAGAGCTCCAAAAGAATCTCTCAAAACTGGGTGAGTGAGAATCAGGAAATCAAATGCAAGTCAGTGTAAGCTGCTGTAAAGTGATGCACACTGGGACAAAATATCTATCAGGAAACAGAATGAAAACAAAACTGCCAGTATTATAATAAACAAATCTATGGTGTGATTGCACTTGGAAAACTGTACAATGGTACCTCGGGATGCGAATGGGACCATCTGTGCATGCACGAGCAGCGAAACCCAGAAATAACACTCTCTGTTACTTCCGGGTCGCCGCGGAGTGCAACCCGAACGCGCTCAACCTGAAGCGTATTTATCCTGAGGTATGACTGTATATGGTTCTGGTCACAAAGCAAGTAAGAGACATGAAAGAGGCATAAAAAATTAAGCCTGGTGTGGGGGAAAGTACATAGAGAAAAGTTTTTCTCCTCTCATAATACTAGGACATTTGATGCAGATGAATGTTTGAAGATTCAGGACAGAGAACAGAAATAACTTATTCACACAGTGCATTGTTAAACTTACTGAATTTGCTCCCACGAGAGGCAGCGATGGCCACTAAAAGATGATTAGACAAATCCATGGAACATAAAGCTATCAACACTGGCCATTTAAAGAAGTCTAACCAAGTTCATGCTAGACTTTCAATGATTTACTCAAATTCTGATGCCCATGGAAAGAAAGCACACACACAAATTACAATCATAAATCATTTTTCTTACCCTCTTATCATTTATTGGCCCAACAATATAAATTCTGTAGCAAAATATAAAAAACCCTCCTACCATTCTCCTAAAATGTACTACAGCACAAATTCATGGAATTATATTCCAAACAAATACAAAACGTGATGCTTCGCTTTCCAGTGTCTTACTAGAATGAACTTTCCCATGGTTATCTAGGGTTTCGTTTGCCTAGCAGTTAAAAGATTAAACAGCATCTTATTCCGCCCTCCTCATGCTTGGATAATGAACAAAGAGTCTCTGTTTTGCCAGAGTAGATACAAATATACTTACACAGGTTTCCCGTTGGATACACTGTAAGACTCTCTTGGCAGGAACAAGAAAATCAATTAGACATCTGAGACCATCTCCGTGATAAAACTTTTCAACAATGCTGAAAAGCTGCCACAGAACAGTAGCAGCTGTGGCCTCAAAAGGTGGATATAGAGAGGAAAGTGTATTCTGGATATAAATATCGAGGGATTCAGAGTTCTGAAATAAATAAATAAAAATCACAGTGTTAGGCAGTGGGGAAGAAGTGTAGATTCTACACAGAAAAACAATATTAACTACCCTGGTTTTCAAACTATGTCATAGCAAACCTTGGGGTTCCCCAGACACTTTCCAGGGTTCCTTCAAAGAGAAAATAATGGATAAATGTACCCAAACAACAAGTTTATCCACCACTATCAATCATCATCTAAGGTGCCGTGTCCTTTGGAAGACAGAGGACAAAACGAAAGCATGCAAACCCTGGAAATAGGAAGACTCCCACACAGATGAACAATTCCCTTTGAATTCCACCCCCCATTTACTGAGAGGCCTGCCAGTCTAGGACCTCTTTGAGTGGATTACTTTCCCAAAATTATTATTTATTATTATTAATGTATTACATTTATACACCACCCTTCATCCGAAGATCACAGGGTGGTTTGCAGCATAAAAATGCAAAAAGAAAACACAAAATACATATCATAGTTAGAACAACAACAACAACAACAACCACCCAATAGCCCCCTTCAACAAACACAGAGGTTCTTTAATCAGCCCAAGGCCTGGTTATAGGGGAACCTTTTCACCTGGCGTCTAAAGGTTAATGTAGTGAAGGTGCCAGGAGAGTCTCCCTGGGGAGAGCATTCCACAAATGGGGAGCCACCACAGAAAAGGCCTGCTCTTGTGTTGCCACCCGCCAGACCTCATGGAGAAAATTCTATCGAGTTGTAACAATAACTTTTGTCCCATAGCTTTCACATATGAGAACATTTCCAAAAGTTGTGAAACATCTGATATACTGCATATTAATGCTTTTGATTTCCTTGTGTGTTCCACAGCTGCAAAGCTCCAGGGGAGTAACTGCAACTGAGGGGCACCTGCTTTCCACACAGTCCCATTTCCAGTCCCTCCTGCTTAAAAAGGATCATGCGGCCAGTGACATGAAAGACCTCCCTGTGTGTAACTCTGAAGACAGAAGGTATCAGTCACAATAGACAATACTGGATTCCCAGACCACTGGCTGAACCATGCAGGTCTAGAGTGCTGAGGGCAAGGCTCAGGAAACAAACAGAGCATCCTCTCAGGACCTTGCAATGACTGAACTGCTTTTGACTCTGTTATCACCATGATATATTTGCACAGGGGTTGGCATGGCAATTAGCCCCTCCCTGGCAGGAAGAGCACTTGTGTGTACATAGGCTGGTGTTGGGTTTCTTTTGAGAGACAAAACCCGCCAACATCAGCAAACACGGCAGTGACACTTTAGTTCCCAACCCTTGCTAACGTAAATGGGAGGGAGAGGAGGAGGGAGGATCCGCAGGCCAGAACCAGCGCAAGCAAAGGGAGCCATAAAGCTTCTTGCACACCAAGGAGCCACCCAAACCGCCACCATCCTGCTTCCGGAGTTTGTCTCATAATGTGTCACATCCTCTTAGTAACCATGGAAACCCCAACTGTGTAAACGTTAACTATAAGGTCACATTCCTGCCCTGCCACATCGTCGTATAGGAAAACTCTGTCCTAAATCATAGGAATAGAAATCTAAAGAGACCGCAGGGAAACCTGAGGCAGAAAGTGCCAGAATATTTTAAACATTTCTGGATAGAGGTAGAAAGATCTCGCAATTTTGGTTCTGTTTCACATTTTTTTAATCTTAAATTCAGTTCTCCACATTTCTGCAGCAATTTGTGCATTTCTCCATCCAAAAATATTTATCAATTTTTTTAGTGTGGATTTCTCCTAATAAACACAATTTTGACTAGTGTATGCATTTTCGCAAGGACCTTCTCCTAATATAATGCATTTCTGTATATTTTCACTGATATATTCATTTTAAAGCAAATTTTCCTTTAATATTTGCAGTTTTGTAAATGCTGTTTGAATGGAGAACTACACTTAAAAACTCAGATGTGTGAACGATGGCTGTGTTTTGATTCTCATATTGTTTCGGAAAGTGTGAATTTGATAAATTCAGCTATAAATGCAAACTGATTCGAATCTCTCCCCCATCCTTATCTCTGGATATCTTTTCAGTGCCAGTGACCTTTAACTTGCACTTCATAAATGAAACCTTTATGTTTAAGCAATATAGCCTCCAATAACACTCTTTCCATGTAGCTTGATATTGGCAGAGAAGAAACATGACTAATAAACACTCCCACCAGCTTCATCTGATTCTATAGGCAGGGCTGGTCCACTCATGAGGCAAAGTGAAGCAGGTAGCAGAAGCCTGCAATAAGTGCTCTATGCAAGAGCTTGCCGCTGCTGCCACCACCCCTCCTCACTACTATGACTGTTACTATTCAAGATCTGTCAGAAAGTCAGGAGGGATGTTGTCCAGAATAGTTCCAACTGAGGGCCAAACTAGGCATGGCAGTTGTAGCCACATTTTCTTGTTCACATCCCCACTCCATTGCCAAATCAATTGGGATGCACAAGGTCTTATTTTAACATGCAAAGGGGCAAATGTTTACTATTTGCAAGGACAGTGGTGCCTTCCCCAATAAATGCCCTCTCCCTGCCCCATCCCTGTTCATAAATTCATCACCTCTCACTCAGTGCTGCTTGTTGCTGCCCTTGAGGTCCATTTACACTTCGCCCCACCCTGAAACTCCCCTCCAGGAAAAAAATAATTCAACATATAGACCCCCCCAAAAAAAGCCTTTAGGAGGGTGAGAAGACCCATCGAATGGCCAAACAGCCATCTTGCACAGTGACTGATTTATATAATTAAGATGTAAAGGAGGACACTGGTGGATAGTCCCTGCTACCAGCCAAGAATGCATTTCCTCCCATCCTAGGTCCATTCTTCTTCCGTACTATGCAATAAGCTTTGCCAGGCTCATAAAAAGGAGAGGAGAGTGGTGGGGGATGAGGCTACGGGGCGGGGGGGCGGGGATGAGGCAAGGCCCTGCACCAGACAGCAACTTCCAAGCAAGGAAACCCCAATAAAACCTTGTAGCCCTCAGTCTCGGTCTTTCTCCTCCCTCTCCTAGCCTCTGCTGAGCCACCCCCCCCCCCAAATCTCTGGCTTGTGCTGGTGCTGAAGGAAAGCAGGAGCCCAGTACACCATCACATACTCCCATTCCTACACACACACACACACACACACACACACACACACACGGGGTCAGGAGAAGTTTGCTCTCCAACATGTTTCTAATTGTGTGTGTGTGTGTGTGTGTGTGTAGTTTTAACCCTATCAATGCTTTTTTTTATTATTGATCACACCCCCCCCAATGCTTTTAGCTGTTTTTATTTTTATCTGCAAGTTGCCTTGAGTCCCTGTCATAACTTCCGCAATACCTCAAGGACCACCTCTTTCCATATGAACCTACCTGGACCCTGAGATCATCCTCCAAGGCCCTTCTTCATGCGCCTCCTCCACAAGAGGTCCAGAGGGTGGCAACACCAGAAAGGGTCTTTTCTGCAGTGGCTCCCCGTTTGTGGAATGCTCTCCCCAGGGAGGTTTGGCTGGCGTCTTCATTATATACCTTTAAAGGTAAAGTTAAAGGGACCCCTGACCATTAGGTCCAGTCGTGACCGACTCTGGGGTTGCGGCGCTCATCTCGCTTTATTGGCCGAGGGAGCCAGCGTACAGCTCGCGGGTCATGTGGCCAGCATGACTAAGCCGCTTCTGGCAAACCAGAGCAGTGCACGGAAACGCCGTTTACCTTCCCACCGGAGCGGTACCTATTTATCTACTTGCACTTTGACGTGCTTTCGAACTGCTAGGTTGGTAGGAGCAGGGACCGAGCAACGGGAGCTCACCCTGTCGCGGGGATTCAAACTGCTGACCTTCTGATCGGCAAGTCCTAGGCTCTGTGGTTTAACCCACAGTGCCACCCGCGTCCTATACACCTTTAGGCACCAGGCAAAAACATTCCTTTTTAACCAGGTTCTTGGTTGCTTGACATCCAATGTCCTTTTAAAATGTGTTGTGGAAGGGGAGGTTATTGGGTTGTCTTTGTTTTCTATTTTTATTATGTGTTTTCTGTTTTTTTATTTTGTGAGTTTATGTTGTGAACTGCCCTGAGATCTATGGGCATCGGGTGGCATACAAAATAAATAAATATACAAAACCAAACAAAATCCTAAGGAAAAGTTTCCGGTTTCAATGTTGCAAGCACAGGGCTGTTTCAAACAAGAATAAATCATCAGGTCTCGTCAATTTATGCATAGCATAATGAACAAGAGGTTAAGTCCCTGCCCTAAGGAGCTTACAATCTAAAATTCAACCTAATGGGAGACCAGAGGGGCATGGGAAGAAACACTGGAAGAAAGAGGAACAGGTGGAGAACGTGTATGTATATCACTTGATGACTACAGTGCTGAGCCTTCACACAAGCCTGTGCAAAACAATGTTAGAAACTGAGATATGAAAGCTAGGAGCTAAATGGCACCCCTTAAACCTAGATTATGGACGCAACAGTTTTTTATAACAAGTATGCAAAGCTGAAAATTAATGAACTACAGTTAAAGTATTATGTTCATTTTTCACATGGTCACAGTATTCTTAGGAGGGTCTCTTATCCAGTCTTCAGAGAGTAGCTGGAAGTGGTGAGGCCTTTCCTTCCACTCTGCAGTTTTAATCTTAGGTGCAATACTGTGCCCAGAGCTCAGAAACTGCTCGCATTGATGAAATTCCATGTCGCAAAATGCGCCTAGAACAATGGGAGTTTTGAACACTGTGTGCAAATGATCCCTCAAAGATGAAATATCTGGATTGCTTGGCAAGCTGGCAAGTGTGGCTTTTCCAATGGCAGGAGTTTGGCAGACAGTAATCAAATTCTGAGTAAATCAAATGACATACACGAATGTGTGAACCACAACTTAGCCTTTTTAATGATTAACCAAATGATTTGGCACAATTGCTTATATATGTAGTGCTTAAAACATTGCTTGCTAACTTTGTTTTTCATTGATATAAACTATGCACCATTTCAGATTTGGTGGGAAAGAAGACGGAACAAAAACATACTGGGGTTAAACGGAAATAACCGAAAGCTTGGCCGCCTCCAAGGCTTTACTTTTCTGCTCCACATAAAAGAGGGGCCTAAGATTTTAGCACTGCAGCTGTGCAGGCTCTTCTTCCCACCTTTCCCCAGAATACATTGTTTTGGTGATAGAAACTTCCTGGTACCAAAGCATTCCAGAGACGGAGAGCTCACCGCTGGCCGGTATCCCAGTGATTTATTTGTGATTAACTAAGCCCTTCTTAGTGTCCTCCCTTCTGCAGGCAGGCCAATGGTACAAGTCTAAAATTAACCAGTTTCAGAGAGCCCCAGAGAGAGAGAAAAGTTTTTTTAAAAAGGTTTCCCAACATTTCCTTGCTGGATCACATGAAAGGCCCATTGAGTCCAGCACTGAGTACCCACCAAACGGAGAGAAGGGGATTCAGCAAGCAGTTATAGAATCAACAGGAAAACATCTGATTTCAACAGGTTTTGAGCCAGGGCTATCTACAGCACAGAGCAGTTTCTAATGCAGTTGTCGCTATGAGAGATATGCTGTTTTGTTTCACCAGTTAAGCCACTTATGGGTGTGGAAGTCTCACACAGAGATACACCATCTCTGAACATGGGAGATTCCATCAAACTATTACAGCTATCATTTTACAACATCATCAAAGTTAATGGTAACTACCACCCCCCCAATGCCCAACTTGGGATAGTGAATTACCTAAGCTGTGTAATGATTCAAAAATGAATCGTGTGGACCTTGTAGGAGTATCTCCTTCTTCAACATTAACTCTTCCAACACAGATATTTTAATTATTGCAGGCTCAGGCAGTCTGAGGACAGCACAGTCAACTGGGACTTTAGCAGAAATGGTACTGGGTAGGTGAAGGGGGGGGTGTCCCATTCGGGGCTTGAGGGGAGGATTGGCCCTGGCATGCCCCAAGCTCGGGCTGGGTCTCTGCCTGGCTGGAATCCTCTCCCCAGTCTCCCAGTGAGACCTTGTCAGCTTGGCTTGCACCACAACAGGGGTCAGCACTGGCCAGTTCCCTCAGAATGGGTTTACTGCGGTGCAGCCTCACTGAATCCCATTCCACCAGTATGGGGAGAGTGGAATGACGAACTGATCCTACCCCAAATCCTCCAGCTAATAAAGATTTGGCCTGATTTCATCCCAACACCCAGTGTCCTGTTGTGGTCACTTGCTTCTTTTGGGGGATTAAGAATGTGCCTGCCTGGGCAAGTTCTCTTACTGTTTCTCTCTTCCAACACCCTACCCAAGCCTTTGAGCGCTTTGCTGGAGCAAGCCTTTCTCATTTAGAATAATCTTGGTTTCACGTAAAGCTTTTAGGGGAACTTATGACTGTAATTTTCATTGCTTGCAAGGCCTGCAGTCCCCCTTACAATCTTTTAAGGGTTTGCAGCTATGAAACAAAGGCAGCAGGGAAATAAAAGGACCAAGGTCAGCAAAAGTCAAATGCACAGGTGAGGGACTTTTCCAGACTGCCATTTTGTTGCACGAACATGAAATTGTTCCTAAGCTATTGCAAAGTGAGATCCAAATATCTGGTGAAGTTATCGAAGAGAATAACTGACAAAGGGAACCCGAATTTCCCTCAAGTACTCCAAATGCAGTATTTCGTTGCTGGGGTAATTGAATTTCAGTGTGCTTGTGGCAACAGTGTTATGTGATACACCATCTCTGAACATGGGAGAGTCCATCAGGGATAATTATAAGCATGTATTGATTGATCCCATTAGATGGCAGATGAGCACCCAGTGCTGTAACACAGCTGATGCTGGACATGCAGATCAGTTTGGATGGGTGACTAATGTATAAGCTTTCAAAGAAAAAGCAGGACTCAAGTTAATAAATGTCATCCATATCATCAGAAGTGACACACAATCTCTCCCCTGATTTAAACTGTTTTGTTTTTTTTAACCAGTATCTTAAACTCAAATGCAGCAGTGCCTGTGAACAAGCAAGTAGTACAAAACATGGAAGTAGGCAGTTCTTCAGGGACCTGGCCCTAGACCATTTGCGGAGGGGTGGGGAGTCTGTGACCCACCCAATGTTGTTGGACGAGAACTCCCATCAGTCACAGCAAGCAAACACAGCCAATGGTCAGGGGTGATGTGCATTATACAGTGGTGCCTCGCAAGACGAAATTAATTCGTTCTGCGAGTTTTTTCGTCTTGCGAATTTTTCGTCTTGCGAAGCACGGTTTTAACGGTATTAACGGTTTTAAGAAAAAGGAAACAAACTTGCAAGACGTTTTCGTCTTGCGAAGCAAGCCCATAGGGAAATTCGTCTTGCGAAGCAACTCAAAAAACAAAAAACTCTTTCGTCTTGCGAGGCATTCGTCTTGCGAGGTACCACTATATAATACAACAATATCTTGAGGGCCACAGATTCATCACCCCCTTTTAGGGAATGAAAGGTTAGAAGCAGCACTTTGAATTGTGCACAGAAACAAACAGAAAGCCAATTGAGCTCTTTCAGCATAGGGTGAAAATGAGTCTGTTATCCCCTTTCAGCAGCTTGACTACTATGTTCTCTATAAGTTAACGTTTCTTTTAAAAGACTAACAACAATTTTGAAAGGCACACCAACCCTATATATCACACTTTACAGTAATCAAGCTTGTACAGTGGTACCTCAGGATGCAAGACGCGACAGCGCATGTCGTGTTTCGCCGCTTCCACGCATGCACGTGATGTCATTTTGAGCGTCTGCTCATGCGCAAGCGGTGAAACCCAGAAGTAACGTGCTCCGTTACTTCCGGGTCACCACGGGGCGCAACCCGAAAATATTTAAGCTGAAGCGTATTCATCCCAAGGTATGACTATATGTTACTAAATCATGGAAAACTGGGGTCCCATAATTCCTTCTCTGGGTCAGGATGCTACTGATGGGGTTGTCATCTGTGCAGCAAAGATATCATACCCAAGATCTCTAGACACCTTCTCCCAACAACTTCATTAGGATGTTTAAACATATTTTTGGACACAGCAGATCATGTGAGAGCACCATAGTATAAATACCAAGGCACTTGATAGATAGGAGTGGAACCACTGGAAGAGAGCTTTTCACTCCACTTCACATCCCAGCTGGTGATCTAACACAGGCTCAAACTCTCTTGTCCACTCATACAATGACACTGTCCAGTCCAGGCTTGTTAACAACTATCTCATAAAAGTTGTAAGTTTGGATTTCTAGCCAATTTATAA